GAATATTCTGGCACATGGCGGAAAACTGATAAACTGTGATTAATGTGAAAACTATTCTTGAGCAGCTTCAATATTGGAAGTTCAGTAACCCAGGATGCCATAGAACCAGGACAGATCATAACAGCATTGCAACGGTAGCACAGAAGATAAGGTATCTACAATGTTGGCCCAGAAAGGAAAGCATACAACGTTTTCGGGGAGATATCAATGTTGTTATCCTAGCTTTTATTTCTAATTCCTTACCGATCGATCTCTTTTTTAGAATTCATTGCAAATAGCCTGATTGGTCCTGTTTTACAAGGATGACAATGCAAGTCAGTTTCTCTTGAGTATACACTCAGACACATGACAATTATAACATTTGTTGACAAGCGAGCAGAAAGATACCAACCAAAATAACAATTATTATAAGTACGCATAATTTTTGGACAACGTGGAAGACCAGGAATACCAACCAAGTACCTACGGAAATGTAGCGATACAATTTGGTATTTCTCGGAATCTGTGAAACCAATTGGACTCAAGCTGGACAGCAAAGGCTAGATACTGGAAAGATGCTTCTGTACTCCGGTCACAAAGAGGAAAATGCTCCACACACTCAGGGAGTTGTTCTGATACTGTCCAAACAAGCACGTAAAGCACTTGTAGGATGGGAATCTCACCGATCCAGAATCACCAAAGCGTCCTTCAAAACAAAGAAGTAGAGGATCACAATGAATATTATCCAGTCTTATGCATCCACCAGTGATAGCAGTGAGGACAATAAAGATCAGTTCCATGAAAGGCTGCAATCGATCATAGTGATGTGCTCAAGAAAGAACCTTACCATTCTGACAGGAGATCTAAATGCCAAAGTCGGGATGGATAGCAACGGTTATGAAAGTGTCAAGTGACGACATGGACTGGGAGAGAGAAATGAAAATGGGGAGAGATTTACAAACGCATACATAAAGCTACATGGATCTCACCGGACCACTCCACAGATAATCAGATAGATCATATCTGTATCAATCAAAAATTCCAATGGACAATAGAAGATGTGAGAACCCGGAGAGGAGCTGACATAGCTTCGGACCACCACCTGGTTGTGGCCAAGATGAGACTGAAGCTAAAGAAAGACTGTACAACTGGACAAACAGCACTACAAAGGTTCAATACAGCATTCCTTCGAGATACTAGCAAGCTCAACGAATTCAAGATAACTCTCAACAACATGTTTGGAGCTCCACAAGATCTATTGAAAAAGCAAGAAACTACGATGGAGGACAACTGGTAAGGGATAAAATAAACACTGACTTCAAAGTGTCAGGAGTTTCTGGGTCCTAAGAAGCATCATCATAAGGAATAGATCTCTATGGGAACCCTGAACAAGATTATTATCACTATTCACAAACATCTTATGGGTACATAAGTGCTGTGAAGAAAGGAAGCCCGAGAAACTAGCAACGAACAACAGTCGAACACGAGCAGAGAAAGTCAAAGCACAAGCAGACTACGCAGAAGCAAACAGGTAAGTGAAGAAAAGCATTATAGCCGACAAGCAGAAATACATGGGAGAACTAGCAACGGTGGCGGAAAAAGCTGCAAGAGAAGGGAATATGAAACAACTATATGATACAACGAAGAAATTGGCAGGGAGATATAGCAAACCAGAGAGACCAGTCAAAGACAAAGAAGGAAAGACAATCACCGAGATTCAAGAACAGAGGAAACGATGGGCAGAATACTTCAAGGAACTGCTGAATAGACCGGCCCCATTGAATCCACCGGACATCGAAGCAGCACACACTGACCTTCCTATAGATGTCACTCCACCGATGATCGAAGAGGTCAAGATGGCCATCAGACAAATCAACAGTGTGAAGGCGGCAGGACCTGACAATATATCAGCCGAAGCACTGAAGTCAGACACAGAAGTAACTGCAGGTATGCTTCACCTTCTAGAAGATCTGGGTGGAAGGATACCTCATCAAAATACAAATGAAAAATCTGAGAACTGCAGGGGCATCACACTACTATCAGTACCACGAAAGGTTCAATAAACGCCAATAGACGCCAAACTTCGAGATCAAGAGGCTAAATTTCGTAAGGATAGGTCATACACAGACCAAATAGTGACACTACGAATCATCACTGAAAAGTCAACTAGATGGAACTCCTTAATATACATAAACTTAATTGACTATGGGAAAGCACCTGACAATGTAAACGGGATGACATGATGGAACTTTATTCGACACTGTGATGTGACTGAGATAATCATCGACATCTTCCCGAATTCGTACAACAAACCATACTGCAAAGTGGCGCACAGAGGACGGCTGACAGGAGCATTTCAAGTGAGGACGTGAGTCCTTTCTCTTTTTCTGATGGTTGACTGGATTGTGAAGACCTCGACTTCTGAGGGGAAGCACGGAATACAATGGACATGAAACTAGACGAATTTGGTTTCACAGATCACCTGGCTCTTCCATTCACATAATCAAATGTCAATTTAACCAGTAAAGCAGAAGCCTTTGAATCAGTAGGCCTCAACATACACAAGGTAAAAACCAAGGTACCCAAATACAGCACTGAAAGAATCAGCCCAATGGCACTTGATGGAGAAACTCTGGAAGAGGTGGAAGCTTTCACATACCTGGGATGCACCATTAATGAACGCGGGGGATCTGATGGAGACATGAATGCACGAATTGGAAAAGCAAGGGTCGCATTCTCGCAGTTGAAAAACAAGCGGAATTCAAAACAACTGTCAACCAATATTAGGGTCACAATCTACAATACGGACGTCAAGATAGTCCTACTGTACGGAGCTGCAACTTCGAGAACTACCACGACCATTATCAAAAGTGTACATGTACTGATAAACAATTGTCTACTCAAGATACTGAATATCTGTTGACCGAATACCTATCGTGGGAGCGAAGGAACCAGCTTCCAGATGAACATGAAATTAGGAAAGAACGCTGAAAGTCGAAAGGGCATACACTATGGAAATCGTTAAACTGCATAATGAGGCAGGCGCTTACGTGGAGTGCTGAGGGGAAACAGAAGGAAGACCAAGGAACACATTGTCTTGAGAATTGGAAGCATACATGAAAAGGATGAACAGCAATTGGAAGGAACTGAAAAGTGTTGTAACGGACAGAGTTGGGTGGAGAATCCTGGTGGGCGGCCTATGCTCCTTCACAAGGGGCAACAGACGTTAATTAGTTAGTGCAAGATCATGTAAACATAAAAATGAGAAAGCTATGATGTCCGATGGAATCAGTTTTTAGAAACAGTATTTCATTTAATTCAAAATTCCTAGAGTGCTAATATTTATTTTGGTACTTAGTTTGTTCTATTAGCCATAAGTTTTTGTTTCACGTTTAGCATTTCTTATCTATAATTGTTCGGAGGTTAACATGCTTAAGTGTTTGTGAAAAGTGTGACCGATACGCGGAACTTGATATTCCTATTACTTTAATCTCTTCTTATCAATGTCGGTATCCTAAGGAAAGAGTGGTCCGTCAATTATGCGAACCAACGTTCTAAAGTTTCATGTTTCGAGATAATGTTAACTGAAATTTCCGAGCTGAACATGTCTCATTAACACCATGGGTGGACGCTTTCACAGAGATTCCGGTTCTTTACTGAAAGATGTACCTCAAGATATACTACAAGTCAGCCAATCATCTCAATTACTGAAGTCTAATGAACAATCTCTCAAGGTCACTCGGCCACAGGGATAACAGGTCAGTGATCTTAGTTTTTTGGCCAATCAGCTTCGAAACAACGGTTACAAGATCGAGGCGCACAAATGAAACACATCATTGTAACGGCCTAAACTATATTCTTCTACTTTCGATCACAATATTGTCATAATCCGAGGCTTGTATTATTGCTGATTATTGCTTATTACTTTCCATAGTAAATGTAAATGCTTTATTTAAAAAGGACAGTTGTATTCTTTCACGCTGAATTAATTTAATTTTATTCAGTCGATCTTCAGTAATAAGGATATTTGGTTGATGGGCCTATGTTAATCCTTACAGTTTATTTTCCAGTGAAAGTCATCCTTCTTAAAACTGTACTTCGGTTGATCACTAACCTCAAACCATGTAAGATACTGGGCCCTAAGGCCCATCAACTGATGGGTTGCATCAACGATTACTGTTATCTCTCGCAGACATTATTTCAAGACCACTCACGATGCTCTTCAACATGTCTCTTCTCCACTCCCAACCTACTGGAGATTGGAAAGATGCTATAGTCATTTACCATCAAACTTAGCTCGGACGTTTTAGTTCGAAGACTACGAGTGTTCGTGTAGCACATATTTAAGAGGTTTTGTGAATCAATCGTTCTACCCATACATGTCCCGAAAACATCGGTTTTCAGGGCTTGACCACCCTGAAACCTGAATCTTAAGATTTGTCTCGCCATTTCGCTTTCGAATTTTTAACTGCGTCAGGGCATTTTTCCACTTGATTCAATCCTCAAGCGGCCAGTTCGTCGGATACGAATATTTAAATCACGAGTTTTATATGCGTTTTACAGTATGACGTTTCTTTCATAACTTCCGAGTGCTAACTTTAAGATCCTTCTTGGTTGGGTCTCGCCTCTGACTTACCGAGTCTTATCACTTTAGTGACATATACCCCTAAAACCTCGTGAGGTAGTACATTTCTGATGCGAGATTCAACTAAATCCTGTACATGCCTTTTAGCAGAGTCATTATCTTTTGACTCCTGGATTCCAATCAATTAAAATAGGGACGGATCTGACTTCTTTGTAAGTCATGTTCACAGCTTTTGATCGTGATATCATGTCCTGCCTATTAGCTACTGTCTGGGGGACTGGCTTTTCTGTAGCAACATTAGGTCGTTCCTTATTCTTGATATATACTCATTCATCAACTTTCATTGGAGTAGCAATCACAGCCGCCTTACACATTGGGATCCATGATGATTATCGATGACTAGGGTAGTCAGGTTTTTGATGTAGGTTCGTTCTCTGAGCTGGATGGTTTGGTCGTGGAGTTTTCACCGTCCTTCTGAACGACATCATCATTACAAACTTCGGGCACAAGACTCTGAGCTTATTTGAGGTAACCTCACTTCAATTTATGTATCCACCGAGCGGATAGCATCTGATGTGTCTCGATTACACTTGCTAATACTCCTTTTAGCAGCATTGACCATTACAGTGGCTTCGGATAGCAAGCTGTTTGCGTCCGAGCAGCATTGCTGACAAAACCACATGCAACCATTTTTGCTAAACCGTTTGAGAGCTGCAGGCGTTAGATTCGTGAAAACTTCGTGGTACTGTCCTCTGCACTCATCTCACTACATGCCATTTTCCACAGAGTATTGACAGCCTGGCGTTAGTAATTGCTTTTTTCCACTGTCCAGTCAGGTAGAGGTTTTCAAAAGAAACTAGACACAAGCAATATCCAGAGACATGAGAAACTGGTGACCGGAAAAATGTGAAAAACTAAACTGTTAGACCCAAAAGTGCAGACAAATACAAAAAGAACTAACGTACTCAAAAATGCCGATGATAAATTACTCCCAAAATAACAACATTCTTGTTAATTGTTTGCTACAACGGTCAAAAGAACAGTGGTATTTTTCCTCGCTGAGATAATCTTGTTGTTTTGATCGTTAAATACGCAGCAAATCTACTGTCTCTACTTTAATTGAATTTATTTCATTTAAAGTAACCAAAAAGAGTGTTGTTTGTTTTTGGAAGTAATTTATCATCGGCATTTTTGAGTACGTCATTTCTTCTTGGTTTGGTCTACCACAGTCCAAACCGAGGTAAATAAGGTTTTGCTAGACCGTTTCAAGACTTGGTCATTAAGTGATCGATTTTTAGTCGTAGGAGGCTTTAATGCACCCACGGTAGACTGGAAAAATCTGAGGACAGAATTATTATAAAATTCTTTCGAACAAATCTATCACATATGCCCTAGTGCAACATGTGAAAGAAGCAACTAATTATTACCCGAACTCCGAATCATCTTTACTAGATCTCCTATGGACCCATTACGAGGACGACGTCACAAACCTCCATTATATGTCACTTCTAGGTAAAAGTAACCATTCAGTTCTATTGTTTGATTTCCATATAGTCGTCAATAACGGGAATGTGTCAGCCCAAGCCAGACCAAACGTCTGGAAAGCAAATATACAAGATATTATACACTCAGCATCCTCAGTAGGTCGGGAAATAAAACCAAAATTCACAATTGAAACGGCTTGGGTTGTATTTAGAAATTTGTACATAAGAGTCACTGCACCTCACATTCCTTGGACTATACCAAGGGGTCTGAGAAACCCCACCGTGGTTCAGTAAAAAGGTCCTCATCCTTCTCCGTAAGAGAAGAGGAGTGTGGGGGAGATTTAGATGCTGAGTACTGACGATGCAAATCTCGATATGGAGAAGCTCGAAATATTTGTGTCTTGACCCTCCGCGTGTCTAGAAGGTTGTACGTAGAAAAACTTGTTAAGGAATCTATTGAATACTCTAAACGCTTGTACTCGTACGTTAACCAAAGGACTAAGGAAAAAAATATTCCAGCATTATGGAGAAAACGTAGTACTGCATCATTAGTGGAGGACGATTGTGTTAAAGCCTAGGTATTCCGAAATTACTTTAACAATGTATATACCGTATTAATACCCTCCCCTCCAGCTCGTGCACCCCCACACACACACCAGACACTGACCAAAAAACTCGATGTCTTTAGTCTGTCAAACGAACTTGATATAGACAAATCCACGGGACCTGACGAAATACATCCTAGGTTACTGAGGGAACTAGGGAATGTCGTCGCAAACCCCTCAAGTATATGTTTTAATCTGTCTGTATCCCAGAGTCGATTATCAAAAGACTAAAAGAACTCCATAGTATGTCCTGTCCCTAAAACAGGTACGAAATATAAACCTGTGAACTGTCGACACATTAGCCTAACTAGCGTAGTTTTTAGAATTTTAGAAAAAGTTATTTGGAAGGATTTATTTAAGTATCTAGACAAAAACCGGATTCTTTCATGTCTAACTTAGTAGCTCGTGGAAGTTGGTATACTCTTAAGGATGAAAAGTTACCCATAGATTTAGCCCACATTGACTTCACCAAGGCTTTTGACAAAGTTCCTCAAAACTGGCTGTCGTATAAATTAAGTAATATCGGGGTTGGGGGCGATTTATTGGTGTGGATAAAATACTTCTTAGTTGGGCGCCAACAAAGAGCATGTGTGGACTCGAAGTTGTCTCGCTGGGGAACTGTGCCTAGCGGAGTGCCTCGGGATACAGTTTTGAGGTCAATGTTGTTCCTCTTGTATGTAAATGATCTTTCTAGTCTCCTATCATCGATCTTGTTATATGCTGACGATGTCAAGATATGGAAAGCGACAAAATGTAAGGGTGACAGTATAGAGCTTCAAAAAGACCTGGAGAAATTATTTGAATGGTCTAAAATTTGGTGGTTGCCGATAAATGCTTCCAAGTGCATTGTGATCCATATTGGTCACTAAGGTAAAAATACATGCACGATCAACAACATTGAACTACTTGTTGTCCAGACACAATGATTTAGGAGTCATCGTTAGCCAAGACTTGAAGTCTACTGCATAATGCCGTGTGATAGCCGCCAAAGGTATTAAAACCCCATGGTCAATAAGTAGGACCTTTAGCCATTTTGATGCTAAGGCCTTTTTAACTTTGTATATAATGTTTGTTCGTCTTAAACTCGAGCACTACATACAAGCGATTAGCCTCTTCCCAAAAAGACTGAGCTGTTGGTAAAGGTTCAGAAAACCACAACGAAGTTGATTCCCGGAGTAGCAAAGCTCCCATGTGATTTTCGACTGGCTAAAATATAGAAAAATCAGAGGTGACTTTATCACAGCTATATACTACTTAATGGTAAATTTGCATCTGATATGCCCTCAATTTTCTTGTCTTCAAAAACAGAGGATTTACGAAGACACTAAAAAGTTCACAAGCTCAGGACAAATTGCTTGTCAGCTGACTACCGACTCTCCCACCGAATTATCAACGAATGAAATTTATCACATCAACACGTGATTAAATCTCCATCTGTTGACGCTTTCAAAAGAAAGTCGGATCAACTGAGAAACCATTGCCAGGACTAACACGGATTACCTAGTCCCCTGTTCTCTCCTATCTGAAAGTGCATTGTGTTCGCTTGCTGTGTCATCAACTCACCTTTTATCTGTTCTTTTTTCCAGCCGTCCTCGCTCACGCTGCTCAGAATGGTTCCCTGGGTAGACGCGAATCCCGCATTAAAAATGTTTTTCTCTATATCTGTTATGTTTGACTAATATATCGTAAATACACGTCCTTCCTAACATTTAACTGACCAAAGGGTATCTACCGGTCAGCTACAATACCTACAACTGAGCTGTACATTCCAATTCATCGAAGATATCACGCAAGTGGAAGTGTTATTAGTGGATGTGTTAATCCTCATTTTAATCTGCTTTCTTCTGAATTGTTTGCTTACGATCATGTATATGTAGTCGTTCATTTGAGTTTTAGTTGTTTTCTGAGTACGTGTTAACACTCATTACTAATCCATCAATACCAAATCTGTGATTACAATTTTACTTACCAAGTTTAGGTTCTCATAAGCTTCAAGAGAACAGTCGAAATTTCAGAACCATGTAGTTTGCTTTAAGAAACCTATTATATAAGAGCTGGTAATACAACTGACTGACTAGGTGAAAGTATATAACAGATTAGTACTTATCACGGTCCGTAGTAAATTGCCAATTTTAGCCTGCGTTGTTCCCATCCTAATTAGTTAGTACAGATGTATAAGAAGTATATTTATTTAAGTATACTTACGACCTGATATTTTCGACAAAATGTCGGACAGGCAGCAATTGACAGTGAAAAGTTATACACTGCCGACGACTTGTGTACAGTGACATTTCTTTGAGCAAATTACAGTCTAAAACTGAACTGTTTCCTCCGACATACAATTGTGTGCATTTAACACAAGTCATATAAAATGCAAACGACTGAACGATTACATAATATATGTCCTGTTGTCATGGAATAATGCCTAGAAGTCAATAGACGTCTAATAAGTTTAAGAGGTTGAGTATTTAACTGTCATTTTCCCGTTTATTGAGGCAACACATTGTATAGTCAGAGTTCTGTTTACCCAAAGGTTGGGTTTATTATATTTTAGTTGCTTGTTTTTTGGTCTCTGCAAACTATACAGTTCATCTTATGCAATTTCTGATATGATTTTCAGAAACATCAATCTCCACTGTCCAAAATTTTGAAATATCACATTGCATCCATATTGTTAGCATGTCAAATAGTGATTATTCTGATCCCGATGACATTCAAAAGTTGGAAATTGAATTTTTATTATCCATTTTCGAAAATAATCAAAATCATTGTCTACTAGAATATGATAAACTATCACGACGTGGATCTTTCACATTTCATCCACAATTCTATAAACCTATTGAATTATATGGACCATCAATAAATATAAAGCTAAGAAACAGCATTTCAGTTGAACCTTTACCTAATACAATAGATAAATATTGTTATCTTTTACAATATTTACCTGTATTCATTATGACATTTATATTGCCATCTGAATATCCTGGACATATTCCTAATGTATCTATCCCTAAATTCTCTTTATCATCTATATGGATGCCATTATCTCTTCTTACTGAATTAGAAATTAAATTAGCTGAGATAGCTAATAATAATCTAGGTGAAATGACACTTTTATCATGTATTGAATATCTTCAAAATGAATATTTCTATTATATGATTGAAAAGTTTCATGGAAGTAACCTTCCGTCCGTCTCTTTTGATCTTTTCAAATTCTATGAATATTATAAGTTAGAATTGACTTTATCCATTCAAGATATCTGTCATTTATTCCTTTCTAATAATGATGATCGATTTGATGTGGAATTCGATGAATCATTAATGGAATGTGCTGTATGCTTTGAAACAAAAAAAGGAAAACTGTTCATTCGATTTGCAAAATGTAAATGTTTTATTTGTCGGGATTGTACAATAGAAAGTTTTAAACTTTCAGTGAATGAATCATTGTTTAATGGACCTTTGACATGTTTGCAATGTGGTGAAGAAGTTAACTATACAGAGGTGAGTTTTTGAAGTGTTGTTGTTTCGATGATAAGTTATGACATTTAGGAATTCATCTTTTGTTTTAAAATCTCGGTGAGGCCTTGAGATGTGTGCACATTGCTCCCAAATGCCTTGGTACGGCCGAGAATAAGGAGAGTCCGCTCTCCCACTCCAAATACTCTCACATGGCCACGCATATATAGCCTCTGCCACAGAAGTCATACTCACTGCCTTCTCGTGCCATAGGTGTTGTTTACGAAATTGAGAGGACGAAAAGCGAATGTCCGATTCTTTAACCGGGTTGATGGACACGGAGGGTCCACCTGGGGGAGTTGGAAAACTCTGATTCCAAACCAATGGTGCACATGGGCTGGCTCCAGTACCCTGAGGGAACAAATGGCGTATGAACCAATCGTTAGTCACCGGCTTCCATGGGAATGCATCTCCTCACGATGCTCCACTGCCTTGTGGATCAGACCTTTATGTCAAAGGCTCCGGGTGTGCAGCCCTAAGAAAACCACCTGTTTCAGTTTGGGCACGTGAGCAGTATCACAGCCCTTACACAAATCAAATGAGATTTGTGTGGCGCATATATATCTGGTACCCCTTTGTACCAATATTTATGTGTTTAAATAAATAAAGTGCAAATAATTTATGGCTAGGATGATAGAGCTTCTTAAGACTGCAGTAGAAAAGAATGCTGATTGTGAAGAGAATTGCAGTTGAGTTGTTTCTAAGCTGACAATATGCAGACATTTACGTCTGCTAATCGAACGCCAGTTAGACATAGTTCGGTGATTTAACTAGAATTAGAACGTTATCAGGATTTAGTTTTCGTAGATAAGATAATAAGGTACTAAACCCAAACCGACAGGTTCAAACTCGACCTTTCTAGTCATTATCCCTTAATGAAAAGTGCTTACATATAAAAACCAAACCACTTATTAAGGGTATGATACATTTAAGTGTAGTTAACCTTTAAAAAGACCAATATTTTCAGAAAATGTTGGTGTCTATACTGTGTCCAAAATAAGTGGCATCCTAATAAAGTAGTGTAGTAACGACAGTTCTCCCAGGGAGTGTAATATAACATTCTGTTGCAGTGTGTAAATGATGTACGTATTGTGATCAAAACATAAATAACGTAACCCAACCGTAGGTGCTACGTTGACATGGTGGTTGGGCTTACCCATAATGATGACTCAATCAATCTATATTGTCTGAAACACATGTTGTTGTAGGCCCTACAATGCCAAACATGTCGGCTGGAGACATATGTTACGTGTGTTCAACCACCGCCTACATCGACGGTGATGTTGTCTGATGTAGAGGCAGGTTGAAAGAGAGCTAGGGGCTGTCAAACCAAAGCATGGAACCAGTCCATGAAGTCATTTACAATTGGAATGAGGTGTGTTAACAGGTGTAGACCAATTGGTTGTGTTCCACTTGATTATCCCAACCGGTGGTTAGAGACTTTGAATAACTTAGCTCGAAATCATTTTCCATGGCGCAGGTATATCCATTCTTTGTCTTCCCCCGAATTCTAAGCTTCTAAATTCCTCATAATCTTTTTGTTTTACTAGTTTATATGTTCTTGAATTGTATCTTCGATGCCTTATCTTTTCCATTACCACTAATGCTGTTACCGTCTCTACTAGTCTGGGATTTTCCCAGATAATTTCATCTTTCTGTGTTAATGAGGTGTGGCGACTCGGATTGATGTACATACGTACCAGGTTCTACGTTGCAACCCACACATACACAGATATGTAAGAGCTGGGATAATTTTGTACCGATTTAGGTTGCCACATTTTACATCTCAGAGAAACTACCATGTAAAGCGAAGAAATTAATATAACTAAAGATATGGATCAATGAAATCAAAACATAAAAGACATATGCTCTAGTCATAGATTACAATCATCTTAAGAATCTCAGTCAAAATGTTTGTGCTTTTCGTTTCATCTCACAATATTAATAAGGTACTTTGTAGAATTTTTGATGAGAACAACACTTATATACGGCACACTTATTGGATGGACAAAAAAATGACTAGTTGTACTAAGTTTTATTTATTTAAACACATAAATATTGGTACAAAGGGGTACCAGATATATATGCGCCACACAAATCTCATTTGATTTGTGTAAGGGCTGTGATACTGCTCACGTGCCCAAACTGAAACAGGTGGTTTTCTTAGGGCTGCACACCCGGAGCCTTTGACATAAAGGTCTGATCCACAAGGCAGTGGAGCATCGTGAGGAGATGCATTCCCATGGAAGCCGGTGACTAACGATTGGTTCATACGCCATTTGTTCCCTCAGGGTACTGGAGCCAGCCCATGTGCACCATTGGTTTGGAATCAGAGTTTTCCAACTCCCCCAGGTGGACCCTCCGTGTCCATCAACCCGGTTAAAGAATCGGACATTCGCTTTTCGTCCTCTCAATTTCGTAAACAACACCTATGGCACGAGAAGGCAGTGAGTATGACTTCTGTGGCAGAGGCTATATATGCGTGGCCATGTGAGAGTATTTGGAGTGGGAGAGCGGACTCTCCCCACTGTACGCCATACCAGGGCATTTACGGGCATTGTACTAATTATGATATAATTAGAGCACATTGGTAACGTTGTATTTAACCTCAGTCAAAATGACAGTTTGGTGACAACAGAAATTGTTATATCCTAACGAAAAATAAATGAATGGTAACTTCTGGAAATTATTTATGGACTATTATCATATATGTATTCTTATTGTATAATTGTTAAGTGACTAGCTTATGTATATTTACATTCCTTTTACTATAACCTCTTATTTGACCTATTGACTACTATAATACGATTCACCATTAAGTTATTCTCAATGTATTGGTTACAGTCTCCCACAATCACAGCCACTTTTTGGCTTGATCTTGTATAATTGTTATTTTTTATTCTGTGATATAATGTGATCTGGTTTGCTCGTATATGAACCAAGTATGTCTGAAATAGATGATTCATACGGTGGAAGCTGATATTAGTGTTCTGTACTCAACAGGTAGAGCTAAACGAGAAGGGCCAATAAGGACTCGAGGGTGTTCATACTGGTCAACGCGTCGTTGGTTTGTAACAGTGCTAAAATTGTATAAGCCATGTTCTGATTGGCGATCATATCACGTGATGTATTCTTAGGTCATAAGGACATGACAGAAACTATATATCTTATGTATCATATTCAGTAGAAAAACGTCTCACGACCTGATTTAATTCAGTACTCTAGAAAGAAGGAGTTTTTCATGTTAATTCAAACCATAAATACAAACAAGTTAAAGGGTGCTATTGTCACGTCTGTATGACGTTTGGATGACTGTTTGATGCCCCAAAATTCCCTGGTACGGCCGAGAGGGAGGAGAGTCTGCTCTCCCTCTCCAAATGTCATCACATGGCCACGCGTATATAACCTCTGCCTCTGAGTTAGACCCAGTACTTTCTGGCCTTATGACGAAGTTGAGTCCGTAGCCTGGTGGTTCACGTTCCGTACTTCAATCGGTTCGCGATAAATAACATAACCATCAATTCCATTAGTAGCGTGTCTTGAATTGATAAATACTGCGTCATAGTTTACTACTATTCTGTTACCTGTAATAAGTAATTTCTATATTGCTGTGATTTTAAACCATTAAAGTCGCTCATACTCATTCCCTTCCTTATAGATTCGTTATATTTTACCTGAAGATATATTCAACAAATATGAATCTTTAGTATTAAAACGAGGCTTGGATATTATGCCAGATATAGTCTATTGTCCTAGACCACAATGTGAATTCCCAGTGATTTTGGATTCAGAAAATCTTGGCCGTTGCCCTAAATGTGAATTGAGCTTTTGTCCAATGTGTTTAAAAACATATCATGGTGTAAATCCGTGCAAAATTAAATTACAAACATTCGGTAAATATGTATATATTGGTTCTCCTTTTTTTGCATTGATTATCAATGTTAGAGTTTTTTTCATCAAGATGCTTCAACATTTATGTTATTATCTAGTAAAGTTTTAACAGATTAAAAATTTCATTCACATTTAAAAATTCAAATTTTACTTACGAAGGTTGCCCTCAAGTGCCCTGGGGAGAGTTCGCTCTCCCTCTCGAAATACTCACTGCCTTCTCATGCCACAGGTGTTGTTTACGAAATTGAGAGGACGAAAAGCGAATGTCCGGCGCTTTAATCGGGTTGGTGGACACAGAAATTCCACCTAGGGGAGTTGGAAAACCCTGATTCCAAATTAATGGTGCACATGGGCTCCAGAATCCTGAGGTCACCGGCTATCATGGAATTGCACCTCCTTACGATGCTCCATTGCCTTATGGATCAGACCTTTAGGTCAAAGGCTCCGGGTGTGGCCCCCTAAGTAAACCACCTGCTTTAGTTAGGGCACCTGGACGGTATCACAGCCCTTACACAAATCAAATGAAATTTGTGTGGCGCATATGTATCTGGTGCCTCTTTGTACCAATATTTATGTGTTCAAATAAATAAATAATAATAATAAGCAACTTACGAAGGTGTAAGAAAAACCACATATTGTACAATGGTAATGAGCGAATTTATGTATAGCGTTTTGAATAGTTAGGGGTTGTATCATTCAGTCACCAATGTATGTTTATAATTGTTTGAAGAATCCTATCATTGGAGTTACAACTTATTGTATAGAAAGAGTCTCTTTATCATTGAATAATCGCATCAGATAAGATACACAATAATAATAGTAATAATAATAAGATAATGATGGTGATGAAGAATAAGAGGATGAGGGTAGTTTACGGGTCAGAATCACGGAAGATAATTGTTCAGTTGACATTTTGCTTCACATTATGGTGTAGAGTACTTATATCCATATAAGTAGTATATGGCGATGTTCAGACATAGAATGTGTTTTAACAGAAGATCGGTAAGGAAAGAAGAGGAACGAAGAACAATCGGTATGAAAATGCATACACAATGAAATTAGAGAAGACGGACTGATATTTACAGATGGAACAGTTAAGATTGAGACAATTGATTGTTATTTTGCAAATTAACTGTTTACTATATGGTTGTCAGATTTTAGTGAGATAGTTTGTAATTTGTGCTTCAATACATTCGATTATCTAAACTAGTGTTCTTGTTCACTACAATATTTGTTAAGCGGACAGTTATGTTTCATAATTCTGACCCGTAAATAATAAAAATGAAGACGTAGTTTCTGCATCTCATGTCCATAGAAATGGGTATACATTCATGCCTTGTGCTTGTGTTTAATGTGTTAAATATCCTGTCAGCGATACCGTATTTATAAAATTAAAAAAAAATCACATCTTAAATAATCTTAAAGATTGAAATTTAAGTTATTTCGTTCCACCCGGAAAACCTATCCGAAGTTCTTTAGGTAAATAATTAAGACATTTAACACCGTTGAATGCCAGCTCAGTGGTCTATCGGTTAAGGGCTTCGGCTCGAGACTGGTAGGTCCTGGGTTCGAATCTCGCTCGCGAGAGCAGGTTCGTGGATGCGCACTGCTGAGGAGTCCCATAATAGGACGAAACGGCCGTCCAGTGTTTCCAGGTTTTCCATGGTGGTCTAGCTTCAATTGACTCACGCTTTCAACAATGATAAATACTAAATCTCCACAAAACCCCTTCTATAATTAAAATAATTAAGACACAAAAAAACACCGAAGAAAATAAATGAGAAAAGAAAAAAGGAATACAGTCGTATATTTTTTTAAAAATAAACCAATACATTTCATCACGTTCAGTAAAGATCAGTTGTTAGGACATTTGATGTTTGGAATTGGTTAAATATAACTCAGACTACTTATTATTAGAATTAAGTACTATATCGTTCGGTACGAATAGTGAACGACAAAGGAACTTCTGACTGCATACGAAATATTTTTAGTTCCACAACGTTTTAAATTTCTTGTTTACTAGTATCTTCTGGGTATCTATCATTTTATGGGCATCTTTCAGCCAACTTTAACTTGTTATCCTTATTATTATTAGATCATAAGTTATTCCTTCTGTCAGATATATTTACAGAGCTGTATATCACACCTACTGTAAGAAATTTAGCTATTATGTTTGTCTTATTCAAATTAAGTTGGGTTTTTTCTAACTCGTTAGACTGATAGTTCCGCAACATCCAAAATCCCCTTCGTGTTATCATAGTTTATAGTAATATTGATTGATAGTAGTTTATTTATTTATTTAAACACATAAATATTGATACAAGGAAGCACAAGATACATATGCGCCTCACAAATCATATTCGATTTGCTTGAGGGCTGTGATACTGCTCAGGTTCCCAAACTGAAGCAGATGGTTTTCTTAGGGGGCCACACCAGGAGCCTTTGACATAAAGGTCTGATCCACAAGGCAGTGGAGCATCGTAAGGAGATGTAGTCCCATGGTAATCGGTGACCAACGATTGATTCATACGCCATTTGTTTCCTCAGGGTACTGGAGCCAGCCCATGTGCATCATTGGTTTGGAATCAGAGTTTTCCAACTCCCCTAGGTGGACTTTCCGTGTCCACCAACCCGGTTAAAGAATCGGACATTCGCTTTTCGTCCTCTCAATTTCGTAAACAACACCTGTGGTACTAGAAGACAGTGAGTATGACTTCTGTGGCAGAGGCTATATATGCGTGGCCATGTGAGAGTATTTGGAGTGGGAGAGCGGACTCTCCCCACTCTCGGCCATCGAGGGCATTTGGGGGAAGTTCTCGGGTATATAATATGCCCTTATGGACCCGGGTAATCTTGCACTGGTTTTCAGGAGAATCAGACACCATCCAGACTTTCACGCGGCAACCTAAACAGTACAGCTCAATCCCGTTTAACAGGAGAGCCAGACACTATATAGACTTCAACGCTGCAATCCGAACAGTACAGCCCAATCCTGTGGCGCAACCACTCAGGTACAAAACACCCTGGTGGACCAGATATAATATAATAAGTTAGAATCAATTTTCTCTTAAATATTAGAAGTATAATTTATGGTAAAATTCTGTTCTAAATTCTTTTCATTATCTTTCATTCCCATTGACAATAATCGAATATTTTTATTTCCTTAAAAAAACAAACTAGGTACTATATCACAAGAAGATAATGAACTGATTCTACAACGCCTAAAAGAAGAAGAAGAGTCAGAGAAATTAATTTCAGAAAAGTATAAACTTTGTCCAGGTTGTTGGACACCATGTGAAGTAAGTAACCAATAAAGTATGAAGTATTCATTGAATGTATTTTATTACTATTATTACTTTTCTAATAAATAAGTAGTACAATTCAGTTGTCATATAAAACGAAACGGCCATCCAGTGCTTCCAAGTTTTCCATGATGGTCTAGCTTCAATTGATTCATGATCTCAACGATTGTTTTTTTCTGTTACTAATTTATACATAAGTATTATTATTATTAGCTTTATTCGATATTATATTTTTGGTACAATATAGAATTCTCAGCACAAAGTACTTCAACAAGTTTCCGTTTCTTACTTCTTCGTCCTTCCTGACGATAAATATTGAGTGATCGCCAGTTAGAACTTAGCAACCCAGTCAGTCGACATCTGGATAATGTACATTCTTCTCGCTGCATATTGCCAGCAACCGCGATATCTCTGATTAAGCCTTCTGTAACGTTTACAGCGAAAGGTCTTACACTTTTCAGAAACGCACCTGAAATAGGTTGTGCGATTAATAGGCATAATGATGCATTAAAACAAACGAAATTAGATAACTTGTTGAAATATCTAGATGACAGGAACAGGTAGCCCAGATGTTTAAACAGGCCGCCATGGTATTTTCATTAAAATATCTTCTTTCCACTGGCTGTTTACCAGGTATTTGATATCATTTCACTCGACAATCTGAGTCATTAGTCTGTTCTTAAGAGCAGCTATCACTCAACCATACCGCGTTTATCTACTGATCAAAAGTCCACTAATTTTAACAATCCAAAATCTATTTATCAAGTGATAAACTCCCCCTCCTCCATAAATAGCTTTCAGCTACATACTTTTAGGGGCTAGTAATCATACACTTGTATCAAACTGATGTGAATGATGATAAACGTAAAACTTGTGATACAGTGGTTAAAAATCAAACTACTGTTCCACTCATTATGGCTTAAAATATGTTCTAGAGACTACTTACTGATGTTGATGTTTTTATGTATACTACTAAACTTTGAAAATGGTTACTTTGAGATTATTGATTCATCTAATGTTCTTATTACATAAACTTTTTCCGGAATGAAATTGACTCCCTGACTTCAGTCCACCCATTTCATGACATACACTAAGAAATCGCATCCCCTTTAAGTTTATCTTTGCTCTTATCCTAACCTACTTACTATGTGCTATTTCGTCCCTTACTGGTGTAACTGAAACTGTAGCACTAAAGTTGAAAAAAATTTTATAACTTGAACTAGAGATGTCAGAATATAAATTAGTACAACTGGAACTGAAACTTAATGTAACTAGACACAATAAAGAAGAGAAACACAGTTGGCAGATGAAGATCCTTATTAAACGGTGTTGTGCAGACTGTTGGATCTGAGTTTCCACATTACTGGTTGACTGATCAGATATTTACTAGAAGCCAGAAAGCATAATATGGGTGTCTCGTTCTAATATAGAACTCAGTAGTGTGTATCCACAATCCACGTCCAGTGTTTCTTGGTTTACAATAGTCATTTAACCGGTGTCAGTTTGTGATGTAGAACTTTAAAAATGACTTGTTTGTCTGTCTAATCTTCTAAGTGTTGATGTCAGCGATCCGTTACAAATAAACCTTCCGATCATCTTAGCATAAATAAGAACATCGTTAGGTTAAAAATATTCCATTTCATTCTAGGTATTCTAAGTAGATGTCATATGTACAAAATTGTTCCACCACTTTTCCACCGACCAAGTAGCTTATTTAATTTTAATAGTTGAGATCATGAATCATTTGAAGCTAGACTACCATGGAAAACCTGGAAGCACTGGACGTCCGTTTCGTCCTATTGTGGGAATCCTCAGCAGTGCGAATCCACGATCCCGCCTCGCAAAATTCGAACCCAAAACCTATCAGTCTCGCGCACGAGCGCTTAACCTCTTGACCACTAAGCCGGCTGGCATCCGACGGTGTTAATGTCTAACTTCAACCGGTTCACGAAATCGAGCGACACATCTATCAATATCTTCAGTGAGTTACTATCTCACAACAGACCTGGTTGAACTCCACTGGTCACTGCTTTTTACTAGAACTGCAGGAAATACTTCTTTGAAGCCTTATTTAGTCAAGAAAAGTAATGACTTGAAAAAGGCATCAAGAAAAATTTTTTAAAAATATAAAAAACTGGCATCCTACACTTACAAATACGTTTAATGATATGAAATCATGTCTAGCCTTTCGTGCTTAATATTTTTGTATATGTCGTTATTTTACATATTCTCGTACCTAATTTTATTGCATGTTATAGTGTGTGTGTGTGAGAGAGAGAGAGATAAAGGTAAACGGATACGTCAATAGTTTGGGCTCTTAAGAAACGTCTACCGGTCATCATTTCACCGATTGAAATGTGCTCGGGATTAAAATTCAAAACAATCTTCACCTATATATTACTACGTGTACTATTTTCTTTGTCAACCTTCTGTCCGCATAACATCATTGTTATATTCTTATGGCCTGTTATTATCACGTGATGGCATTGACAATCAGAACACCAACTTATTGACCAGAATAATAACGTAGTACATGTAGTCTAGAGTCAACTTAGAGTTCTTATTGATCCTCTGAGATAGTAGCTATTCGCCTAACCCAGCCGATTCAGTCCAGAACACCAATATGAATCGTGTATTTCATACATACGTAGTTTATGTACAAGCAAATCAGACTACATCACACCATCAAATAGTAAGTAAGAATTATACAAAATCAGGCCAAAAAGTGACTGTGATTGTGAGGCACTTTAATACACTAAGAATATATATATGACTTGCTCCATGGGGTATATCCTGGAGTTCTAGTAAGAAGCAGTAACCAGTGGAGTTCAACCAGGTCTGTTGAGAGATATCAACTCACTGAAGACACTGGTGAAATGATTGCTCAACTTTGTGATTTAGTTGAAGTTAGACATTAACACCGTTGAATGCCGGCTCAGTGGTCTATCAGTCAAGTGCTCCGGCGCGAGGCTGGTAGGTCCTAGGTTCGAATCTCGTGAGTACGGGATCGTGGATGCGCACTGCCACTGAGGAGCCCCATAGTGGGACGAAACGGTCGTCCAGTGCTTCCAGGTTTCCCATGGTAGTCTAGCTTCAATTGACTCATGATTTCAACTATATACAATAATAGTCCATAAATAGATCCTAACAGTTACCATTCACTGATTCTTCATCCGAATATAACAATCATGATATGATTGTTTTTGAATATCTAACCATAATGATACATAGTATCAATCAGCTTTAACACACTGACTTTGTCATTGATATATGTCTATGTTTATTTATATATGACTCATTAGTAGTATTTTAGACTGTAAAATTAACATTAAGCACGTACATGTAAATTGGGTCATGTTTATATTTTTAACCATAATTATTATACATTCCTTAATATAAACAAATTTACTTATTAGGTTTCAAAGTTCAAGAATTAGATTTAGAATAATAATAATAATAATGATTGTTTAATATGACTGTTACCATCTAAAATGCACATTAAATCAACCAAGTGATTCATTACTCTCTTATGTTAAATATCTGGGGAGGCTAAACCCGACTCACACAGGTCCTCGTCGTGCCTTCTGGATAGTGGGACTGTTTCCATGATCCCTAACGTTAACGGTAAACCGGATGGTAGAGATTGACCTAATCAACCACTCTACTTATACCCACAAATCCATGAAATCACTGACAAGTGGACTGAGCCATGTTGGTAGGTGTAAACTACCTGGTTGGGATCCACGAGTTGATAGCAATCGATGGTTAGAGACCTTGAATGACATGGCTCAAAATCGTTTGCAATGGCGAAGGTGCATCCACTGTTTGTGTTCTCCCAATTTCTAATCTTCTGAACTCTTCATGTCCCTTTCTTTTTTCTCTTTCCAAATTTATTTCACTGGAATATACTCCTTGAATAACATCTTCAAACCCTAATCTTTCGCATTAATGCTTATACTCATACTACTTCTACCACTATGGGATTTGAATGGACAACTGCATTTTTGTGCTAATGTGGTATGGCAACTCTAACTGATGTACGTACCTACGATGTTTTACGTTGTGACTAACTGACTGACTGACCTATACCCACAAATGATTACGAAAGAATCATTTCATAATTATTTTTGATTTCAAAAAAGGGAGATGTAATGATTCTGCGTAAGCAATGCCAAAAAAGCTATTGAATCCCGGTAGTTGTGCTCGTGCTTCGATGTAGCGTTCTTCTCCAGAAGGGCTTACTAGGCGCCACCTTGTTTCTATGGCTGGAAGAGGGGTTAGTTACCTGAGGAGTAAGACTGTCATCAAACACATGCTTATTTTCCGGATATCTTATTTGTTAGTGTATTTATCAGGGATTCAGGTGTTCTTATGTAGTGATGATGATTAATATTCAATAACCAGTTCTACAGACAGTTATCTTCTGTATTTTTCGTTGATTGTTAGCAATAACCACGGGAGTTAGTGGTTCTTGTGCGATCCTTAATGATGATGCTACTGTTGTTACTAGGATCTCTATATAACACTTGATTGATCATTTAAGGTTTCTGACTAGTAATAGTCAATGACTTAGTACATCTGACCGCTTAGCTTATTCGTAAAATCCGTACACTTAATAAATTCGATTGTTTTAAAATTGTGGGAACATTAAATTGAAATTGCTTATCAGAAGATATCAATCAGTCAGTGTACTCAATTCTATCTCACTGTCACAGTTAAATAACTTGTAACCTTTTCGAATGTGCTTTTGAGATAATAAAAGTTTAAATCTTCAAGGAAGCATTAGCTTCCATTAAAGTTGCACACGCGTTTAGCTCGCGAGTTCAAGTGAATAAGAAATATCCTTTAAAGTTTATAAATGAGTGCGAAAGTCAATCAACACCAAGACTTCTCTTTAATTCTGTTCCAAAGAACACTGTTTATATCTATCTACCATTTAGAGATGAATCTAACAGTATGGTTTTAAGACAGAGATTAAAAGCATCCATCGAGAAAACATATGCTACTAACCTGGTTGTGATTGAAAGGACTAAGCCTATGATTCTAAATAGACTTAGACATTGTACAAATGATTACATGACGTCTCGTCGTATTTACCAAGTTACATGTTCGCGTGGACACACTCATGGAGGAGCAATCGAGTAACACAATCAAGGAATATGGAACATATACCTAGATGGCTTCAAAGTCAAATAATGTCAAATGCTCCGATAAACATGGAATTTGAAAATAGTGTTCTTCGATAACAAAGCACATAGTTGAAAGGGGGCACAGATTTGACATCAATATAGCTTTTAAAACGTTGTATAGACATTGTCATGGACGGAATCTTAAACTTATAGAAGCCTAGGCTAATCATAAATTTAAACCCCTCCTTTATGTTTACATAAACAATCTGTCGTAGCCTTAAATTTGCCGTGGTCATTTTATGGCTTAAGTTAATGCGACAATTTCCTGTTCTTCCTCTCTCCTTTATTTACAATCATCACTTAGTTTACTTGAACTATCATTTAGTTGATCTTTATTAATTTTCATTTAAAATGACTTAACAAGTATATGTAACCAGATTGTTCGGAATGCATAGCGCAAACAGCTCACATTTTTCAGATCAACTCCGTCTTCTCATTGTTCTATTGAAATAAGAAATAATCGATCAAATGTTTACATATTGATTGATTGAAACATAACCAAACTACATATTTCTTTGTCTAAGGCCGAGGGAGGTGAGACTTCGCCCCCCTTGTCACAGTACTCATATACGATGACTCGTTTTACTCACTGATGACTGTCTCTGTAGCATTTCTCACATATTAGACTGAACTGTGTTCAGACATTCAACTTAGTATTGTTTGTTTGAATCTTCCCATCGATTTGTTAGGACTGCAACTGGTCAGTCTCTAATTGGCATATGTGCATACTGTGCGTATTGCCTCGATATACCTTAATTCACAAGCATGGTTAGCAGAGATGGATAGTGGCTAGCAGTGGAATCCAGTTTGACGCGCGCTTCGTCCTATTTGGGACTCGTCAGATGGATGTGCCTGCATCTCAGAGTTGATGTTCACTCTGGGACTGGAACCCAGTACCCTCGCTTCAAACGCCATCGCGTTATCCACTCGGCCACTGAGTCCTGATAGCCAATTGCTTGTGCGATGGGGTGAAGTTTAAATTCAACTTAGTATTGTTTGTTTGAATCTTCCCATCAAGTGGTGTACTTCAAACTACTTTTTCCATCACTGAAACACCATTAGATTTTGTAATAGATGTAAAATGTGACCAGTCATTTGAATAGTTGTCTAATGTCTAAATTTGCTTAGTATTGTTTGTTTGAATGCTCTCATTGATATTAAGTGAATTTAGATTTCACCCCGTTGCACAAGCAAGTGGCTATCAGGACTCAGTAAGTAAATGGATAACACGATGGCAATTGAAGCGAAAAGTACTGGATTAGAGTTCCAGAGTGAACATCAACTCTGAGATGCAGGTACATCCAGCTGACGAGTCCCAAATAAGACGAAACGCGCGTCCTGGATTCCACTACTAGTCACTATCCATCTTTGCTTATAATATTCTTAATATCGCCTTAAAATTTCATGTAGATAAGTATCATGATGCACCCTAATAATGAATTAATCTTAAAAACATCTCTTCTCTCTGTTTCATGTTTTAGTGTTCTAATTCAAATTATGGCATTAAAAATGAATATACTATGAACTCTCTAGACATGTATACATGTGTATTTATATTGTCCTGTCATCTTTATAGATTATAATTAACGGATAGGCTCAAGAATTCGTATTTCGTCATATTTGTAACTTGACATCTTGATGTACATACCCCTTCCCATTGTTACTAACCACACTCTGACTGGGACTCAGTACCTTTCTCATCAATTTTAAACGTGTTAATAACAAAGCTACTGAGTCCAGAAAGCTGAAATTTATTTATTTAAACACAATATTGGTACAAACGTGCACCAGATATATATGCGCCGCACAAATCTCATTTGACTTCTGTGAGTGCTGTCATACTGCCCGGGTGCCCGAACCGAAACAGGTGGTTTTTTTATGGGGCCACACCCATAGCTTTTGACTTAAAGGTGTGCTCCCCAAGGCAGTGGAGCATCGTAAGGAGATGCATTCCCATGGTAGCCGGTGACCAACGATTGATTCATGTGCCATTTGTTCCTTCAGGATACTGGAGCCCATGTACACCATTGGTTTGGAATCAGAGTTTTCCAACTCCAATAGGTGGACTTTCCGTGTCCACCAACCCAGTCAAAGCATCGGATATTCGTATTTCGTCCTTTCAATTTCGTAAACAACACATGTGGTGTTAGTAGACAGTGAGTAGAACTTCCCTGTCAGTGGCTGTATGCACGTGGTCATGTGAGTGCATTTGGAGAGGGAAACCTTACTCTCCCCTACTCTCGGCTGTACCAGGGTATTTGGGGGTGGGGCAGAGAGCTAAAATCTTGTTCAGTGATTATATCATTCATTATTCATAAGTCAATTGTTTCATTTTATTGATATTTATATATGTATCTTTACTTTTCTTATTTATTATAGAAAATTACTGGTTGTAATAAAATGACATGTTCATATTGTCATTTATTTTTTTGTTGGTTATGTTTAAATGCTATACATGATCGTCATAATCCATATTCACATTTTTCTAATGGTACATGTCAAGGTCAATTATGGACCGATAATACAATTGAATTTAGAGAATAATTTAGTTTCTTATTATGATTCTATAAGAGTACTGTATCCAAAAGAAATATGTCCAGCCATCCCTTTTACTACCCTGACCAACTTCAGGGTTAACTTGTTAATCATCCATTTTATAATATGGTGGTGACATGAATTTGAATTGATGTTCATTCTTATATCTTACATTTATCTTATCCATACATCTTACCTTTATTATTATTATTATTATTATTATTATTATTATTATTATTATTATTATTACACTTGGTAACCATTTTGGGAGGGAATTTATTCAACATCCACCCCTATTCCACTAATTTATATTATTCTACCTATTACATAATTTCTGATTTGTAATCCCATTGTTCTCACTCTTACCCCCCCCCCTATGTCAACTATATTTATTCTGATCATCATTTATCATACGATTTTATTTCACATAGAGATTGATTCAAGTTTAACACTTCATATTAGTCAACTCCAACATTCCTTAATTCACATGTTCACAGTTTTTTTTATTTTTTAAATGATGTACTCTGCCTTAAACTATTTGGCCAATCTTCTTTTATGGATTATTAATTTGGATTAACAAATTGTAGAGTACCTGATGAGAAATTCATTGAAACGAATATTCTTCATTCATGTAAGAGTACTGTTTTGTTTGTTTGTTTGTTTTTTATATTTTTATATCTAACTGTTTTTATTTTATTTTTATTTTAATAAACAATTATTTTTATAAAAGAAAAGGTGATCAAAATATAAAACAGATTCACTACTCTTGTAGTGCTGTGCTTCGTTAATCGTTTACTTTGATAACCGTTATAATACAAATCTTAACGGTGCATAAAATCAGAAGGTAAAAGAGAAGCAGTAACTACAGTTTATGGTCAAATAACTCAGGCTAGAAAGCTAACCAGCATCTGAGTGAATATCAGCGAGCAAAGCGAAAATGATACACATTGGAGATGACAGGTAAGCCAACTCTGTAGACGTTTCTCTGCCACCAGCTTAAGTGTACTCGAATTTGTGCTAATAGGTTTTATTGGTTTGTATTGGCAGCATTTACAAATAGACTCACATTAGCATCAGTGGCAGCAAGACAAACAAAAGCTAGTAATAGGATTTGAGTGCATACATAAATGGGAAGGTGAATGAATCATCGAATGATACTTAAACAATCAACATTTTGGCTAAAGTCTGTCATGTTGCTCTAGTAGTCATAACAGTACAAAGTAATATGCAAATTGTTATTATCCAAATGACAGTGTCTGTTATGTAAGTGAATAAAAAGAGCTTAACCAAAATTAACCATAATCGAAATTGGGTGTAGGATGGTTGCTATTGCCATTTTACATATAGTTTAGGTTGATGATTTTGTTTTTTTTATAGTATTCAGTAGTGTATTTAGTATCGCAATTATTTTCAGTCAGATTGTTTCATGTAACAGTGTACTCACAAATAATTGCTTGTTTTTATTGGATCAGATAACCAAAAGAATTAGACTAGATACTTGTATTCTAGGAATAGTTGTTGAAGATGTTTATCGCAGTATAGTAAATATTATAACACAAAAACTGTTTATTTGATGATATATTAAAGCAATACACAATTGATTGATCACTGGGTGGTGATCAATCTCATGCGTGTCAGGTCCTTAGTGCTGATCGAATGCTATCGATCAAGTTGCAATGTGGCCACCAGTCTAGGTGGCTCGACACTGCGGGCACTATATATATCAATTGTGATTAGATCTCAGTCCTACAGGAGGTCGGTCGCGGCCCGAATAGCTCAGTGGTAACGTCTCTGACTGTGAAGCTGAGTGACGCGGGATCGAATCCGCCAGGGGGCGTCAGTTCCCTCAAGATTACAGGTACACCTTGCTGACGAGTGCCAAGTAGCACGAAACCCGGGTCCAGGGTTTCCTGTTGACCACCTCCAACCACCATGTTACCCTAATTAAAGCAATACATTTCGAACAATCTGATCACACGTATACTTGCTAAGACTCTTTATACATAAAAATCAAAGGTCAACAAGACTGGGTGGGGGGGTAAGAGGAGACTAGGATAATAATAATAAAAATAATAATCTGAAAATAATTTGAAACCTAATCACTCTGGATAATAAGTTAATATTACCAGAGTAGGTTTAAGATGAGAACAAACTGCATTTTGGATACACAAAGGGGATTTGAATTTTCGTATGCCTATGACTTCCATAAACCTTATTATACGCCCTTTTACAATTTTCTACAACACTACAATAGCTAAGCTAATATCAATCTTATGTTAATTATAGAAGGGGTTTTGTGGAGATTTAGTATTTATTATAGTTGAAAGCGTGAGTCAATTGAAACTAGACCACAATGGAAACACTGGACGGCTATTATGGGACTCCTCAGCAGTGCGCATCCACGAACCCGCTCTCGTGAGATTCGAACCCAGGACCTACCAGTCTCGCACCGGAGCACTTGACTGATAGACCACTCAGCTGGCATCCAACGGTGTTAATGTCTAACTTCAACTGATCCACGAAGTTGAGCAACCATTCACCATTTGTCTTCAGTGAGTTTCTATCTCACATGGTTTTGAACTCCACTGGTTACTGCTTCTCACTAGAGCTCCTAGATATACTTCTCGAAGTCCAGTGTTTCCAGGTTTTCCATGGTGGTTTAGTTTCAATTAACTCACGCTTTTCACTATAATAAATACTAAATCAATCTTATAGCCTGTTTTGATTATATGTTTGGCAATAGAGGATGATGGATGTTTATCCTCTACTCTTATTGGGTCATTCGACTCTATTTGTTTTTGCAACCATTTTGGTACATGTTCACCCACCCTAATTTTCAGATCAAAATTCCTCCTCCCTATGTATGTGTGACCACACACACATTTAAATTGCTAAACGCATTGGGATGTGACACAATCGTTTTCATGTCGTCTAGGTTTTGAATGAAGCATGGACCTCGTTCTTTCCTTGATTATGACTTTCGCAGCACAATACGTTTTGTTGATAACCGATTTGAGCCTTTGTTTCAATAAAAGGCTATTTGAATCACCTCTCAATGGTAAAGTGATGTAGACAGGCTTTTTTCCACTAAGACTACAGTAGGTTTCACTATGCCATGAACTTTCCATCTATTGATAAGTTCAAGTGGATGACCATTTCCCACTAATGTTTTGTTTAACAACTTAACATCATCATCAATAGCGTCGTTTGTGCAAATACGATTAAGCCTGTTAAATAGGCACCTTATGAAACCCTGTTTGTATTGCACAGAGCGATAACTATAATAACTAAGGTATTGGCCCATCCACGTTGGTTTTCGAAAAATGTATCGTTTGATTGATCCATCTTCTCGTCTATTTAGAAGTATATCCAGGAAAGGAAGCTGGTTATTCTTCTCCTCTTCGCATGAGAGACTGATGTGGTTTATTCAATAAACAGTTCATATCATCCTTTCTTTCACAGACAACTAAGATATCGTCCACATATCTCTTATAAAATGACAAGTTTTCGATTAGGTCTTCAGACAGATTTTCAACATGCACCATAAACACATCTGTTAATAATGGTCCTAACGGACTACCCATAGCGACCCCATCAATCTGGCGAAAGTATTCGCCTTCAAACATGAACTGAACTTTATCAGTACATAAAAGTAATAACTCTTTAAGAATTTTCAAAGGGACAGGTAATTTAAGGTTGTTTAAAGATATATATTCACATAATATGTCAATAGTCTTTTTCAAAGGTACAAGTCGAACCTTGGTAAAGATACCTACTATTTCAAGCTATGTTTTCTATGTCTCATCGGAATAATGTAAGAATACTTATATTGTAAGAAAATTGCCGAATTTCTGATAATGAATGGAGATACCTCCAGCAATGTAGTACTTAACAATATGAAGACTTTTAAGTATACAGAATATCATTCGACAAAATTTACATCTCACTGTCACAAAGTAACCAACGAGACACCTTCGTTTTCCAAATCAAGCGAAGTTGTTTTCACAGAAAGTAATCAGTATATTGAAGTGTCAAGCAGTTTAATTAATGAGAGCAACGCATCAAATCGTAGCCATAGCACCTGTTAGTTTGTCGTATACCGTTTCAGCCTAACTTCCAAGTGTTATTCTGATGTCAGGTAACTCGTAGCACACATCATAACCATCAAATGCCCTTTGAAAATCCAAATTCATTCATTCTACTATCTACATGAAAAGCGTCTGTGATGATCTAAGAAAGGAACAAAGTTTAAGGTAGTTGAAAATCTAATACTTGAAGGTATTTAGCGATAGCATGGACTAAGAAATACAGAGAGGTATTAACACCCATTAAATTAGATGTAGAAGATTAACAAAACCGATTGGTACTAAACTATATATTTAGAACAACGCTCAATTTGAATTTGCTAATTTAGACATGTTGAGCTGTGTTATCAACATTTACAAACTTAAATAATATTTACATCTACATTATGTTAGTAAACCGCCGTCTTGTTCCTCGAGGATGCGTTCTTACAATGATTAACTGTTCTAAAGGATGTCACTGTAATGTTCTTTATAACAACGTTCTACTGTGAAGATCAGTAACTTTTAAAGAATTGTTTATCTCGTTACCTGTTAACTTTCTAATGTTTCGACATTTATATTTGTCTTTGAACATCGACTCACTGATCCTTGGTAGCATCCACCTGCAAGCTCCATATGAAAATAATGAAATAAACACAATAAACATGTGCCATTGTTTCCAATGGAGAAGGTTCATCCACTCTTTGTGTTCTACCAAATTCTAATCTGAATTCTTTATGTCTCTATCTTTATTATTCTCTTTCTAAATTTATTTCACTGTATTATACTCCTTGAATAACATCTTCAAACCCTAATCTTTCAGATTACTGTTTATACTCTAACTACTTCTATGACTATGGGATTTGAATCGACAACTGCATATCTGTGTTAATGTAGTATGGTAACTCGAACTGATGTACGTACGTATGAAGTTCTACGTTGTGACTGACTGACTGTTAAACCCGGAGTACAGTAATGTAATAAAAATAAAACGACAATTTATTCTCAAATTACATTGTATTTAATAATTCAGTTGCACATTTATTCACCTTAAAGTCATTCATGTTTAGAAAAACTAACGTCCCATCAGATGGATAGAGGCTAGCAGTGTAATCCAGGACGAGCGTTTTGTTCTATTTGCATTGCACAAGCAATTGGCTGTCAGGACTCAGTGGCCGAGTGGATAACGCGATGGCGTTTGAAGCGAGGGTACTGGGTTCCAGTCCCAGAGTGAACATCAACTCTGAGATGCAGGTACATCCATCTGACGAGTCCCAAATAGGACGAAGCGCGCGTCAAACTGGATTCCACTGCTAGCCACTATCCATCTCTGCTAACCATGCTTGTGAATTAAGGTATATCGAGGCAATACGCACAGTATGCACATATGCCAATTAGAGACTGACCAGTTGCAGTCCTAACAAATCGATGGGAAGATTCAAACAAACAATACTAAGTAAATTTTAAAGTCCCATTACTTGTACTTGATGTTCGGGCTGATGATATCGTTTAGAATAACAATGGAAGCTCCTCAATCAAATCATCCAGCTTAGAGAACAAAACTCTATTATGTTCATCCATAACAAAATAAAAATGATACAACAAGATTTTATCTAGTAGACAAATTCATTACAACAACAAATAATCAAGATATCTAGGTTGACATGGAAACGTTATCAAATTTTTAAGAAAAAAAACTAATTTGAGGAAATGAATATTCCTAATTGTGACTAAGTGGTAGGACCTTTGAGCAACTGTAAGATGGCTATGACGATACCCACCTCCTTGTAACAGGTTAAACGAGGGTTATAAATTCGGGTGAGGAATTAACATCAGATATGATACCAAATAGAGGAATGTATTTCTCACCAAAATCCAAGATCTGCTATCTTAAACCTGTCCTGTTCGTTCATCAATTATAATCTCATCGATTATGTTTATATCTTTCTTACGGAAATAAAAATTAAAAATCTGATTTAATTGTTAAGAAAAAAAAGTTTTTTTTAAAAAATTGGGTGGGGAAAGACTTCCCTCCCGTCCCCATAGCAACAAAATCAATTTTACCAAATAGTTCTTGCATTCATCTTTTTACATTTTAATGAATTATCATATCCTAAATTATATGATACAGGTTGTAATGTATAATTTGATACATAGTGATAAGAATGATCATTATTTTGCATTGTAGTTGAGGAATGTTTTGTACTGTCCATTGTCATGTTTGTTGTATACCACTGAACAATAAACGTATTCTCACCTTGATTCATTGCTAAACAAATACTATCTGGTAAATTTTTTATATTTATATCTGTAATAAAATCAATATAACCTTGTATAGCATTACCTTTATGGATATATAAATGTGATATAGGTATATCTATCATTTCATTTTGATCTAATTCAACTAAATGTATTTTAATATCATTTACAAAACCAATTTCTGTTCGTACATTATTACGACCGGTTAAACGCCATATACTCGTCTCTAATGCATTCGATATCCTTATGGTTAATGATGCTATATGATCTAATTGTATTAACCAACCAGATGATAATGTAGTTTGAATTCTTTGATCTATTGGTAATTTAATGAATTGTATAAATGGTTTAAATTGACTTGTAGATGAGAATAGTAAACTCATTATATTAGATATTCCACCAGAAAATAATTCATATGGTAATAATGAGATATCTAAATAATTAACATCCATATATAACCATGTATCTCCTGTTGTTGTTGTTGCCATGGTAGATTGCTGCTGTTTCTTATTGGGTAATATATTACCTAAATTCATTAATTCATTCGCTTGTATATTAATATTCAATAATGATAATGATGTTTCATCTTCATTATTAATTAAATTTATATTCATATTAGATAATTGTAATCCACCATTAGTATCTAATATATAATAATTTATATAATCAATATATAATATATGATTAATATGATTAATTTCATTATGTAATAATATTGCTTGATTCATTATATTCAATTTATGATGACCAATTAAACCAGACCAACTACCAGCTAAACCTAATTTACATTTAGATAATAAACCATTTAAACAATGACATTCATTCATTGTTAATAATTCTTCATTATTATTATTATTATTATTACATAATTGTCTGATATATTTTCTACATAATTGTATTAAAGTCCATCTTTGTTGTTTAGATAAATCATTTAATATTTGTGTTATATAATGAGGTGATAATTTAGTTAATAATAATAATTTAATTATTTCATAATTAATTATTATTTCATTTTCTATATTATTATTATTATTATTAATACTATTATTATTATTATTATTATTATTATTATTATTATTATTATTATTATTAGGTAATTGATATAATAATTCAATTAATTTTGTTCTTATTTTTAAAAATTGTTTTTCATTTAATTTAATTAAATTATAATTTTTTTCATTTAAATTTTTTTTATTTTCTGATAAATATATTTCAGTAATAGTACGAATAGCTAATGAACGTATAACGGATGGAATATTATTATTATTATTACTATTATTATTGTCGTTATTATTATCATGATTATTATTATTAATATCTTTATTATTAATACTATTGTTATTATCAATGTTGTCTATACTATTATTCTTATCATTATTATTATTAATATTATTAGTATCATTATTATTTTCATTATTAATATTATTATTATTGAAATTATTATTACGATTACCACTATTAATATTATTATCACTATTATGAATATTATTATCATTATTATCATAATAATAATTATTATCATATTCATCATATTCATTATTATTATTGTCATTATTATTAATTATTATATTGAATAATGATTTAATCAATATTGGATGACGTAATTGTTTACTTAATGATATACCTAATAATAATAAATGATTTTTTTGTTTTTCTTCAACATTTTTTCTTGAAATATTAAGTAATTTTTGTATATGTTTAATTATTTGTTTAAAATAATTAAATTTTTTATAATTTTTAATACGAGAATTTAAATTTACTAAAGTCATTAAACAAATATAATTTTGATCAATAATTATTGATTTTTCACATGATTGATATAATTGATTCATTTGATCAATATTTAATTGATTATTAATATGAGATAATGATATCCAAAATTTTTTAAATAACATTTCTTTTGTTTTAATAATTTCAATAGAATTTTCATTGAAATTATGATCATTATTAAAATAAAGAAATTTAGTTATTTCATTTAAACGATTTAATATAATAGTTAGACAAGTATTAGTACCACAATTAATTAAAATATCAATTAATTGATCTTTCCATGTATTATATTGTCTATATATTAATTGTATATCAATATAAGGTGGTGTTAGCATAGTTGCACTAGATAATAATGTAATAGAATAATTAGTATCTGGGAGACAACGTAATTGATTAATTAAATGAATAATTGATTCAGATGATTTTATAGTACCAATTAAATTATTATGTAAATAATCACGATATGATTCAATATATTGTCGTAAATTAACTAATTGCTGATGATTATCATTATCATCATCAGTAGTATTATGAGTAGTATCAGTAGTAGTAGGAGGAGGAGGAGGAGTAAATAAATTTGTATTTAAACTACATGAATTTGATTTTGTAATTGGATAAATAAGACCTAAATGTATTGTTTGATAATTGGTACCATATAAGATTTCAATGATCTTGAATGAAAAAGGAAAGAAAAGAAAAATAAACAAAAAATTAGTATTTTAAACAAAGATGAATAGTAGCTAGCAGTAGAATCCAGCATGCGCGTTTCATCCTATCAATGAGAAGATTCAAACAAATAATAATAAGTGAATTTCAACTTCAACCGATTGCACAAGCAAGTGACTATGAGGAGTCAGTGGCCGAGTGGATAACGTGATGGCGTTTGAAGTGAACGGTACTGGGTTGCAGTCCCACAGTGAACATCAATTCCGAGATGCAGGCACTTCTAACTGACGAGTCCCAAACACGACGAAATGCGCATCAAACTGGATTCCACTGCTAGCCACTATCCATCTTGGCTTATAATGCTTGTGAATTCAGGCTATATGGAGGCAATACCTACAGTATGCACATATGTCAATGAGAGACTGACCAGTTGCAGTCGTAAACATCAATGGGAACATTCATTACTATATATATATATATATATATATATATATATATATATATATATATATATATATATATATATATATATATATATAATGAAAAATATTGTGGATCGGACATACATTAAGGAAATCATCAATGTGTATTACAAGGCAATCCCTAACATGGAATTCAGAAGGGAAGAGGAAAAGAGGAATGCCAAACAACACATTATTCTGGGAAATAGAAACAGATATGAAAAGGATGAATGTTAACTGGAAAGAGCTGGAAAGGATTTCCCAGAACAGAGATGGATGAAGAATACTGGTTGGCTGCCTATGGTCCTCCACGAGGTTAACAGGCGTAAATAAGTAAGTAAATATGAAAAATATTCAAATAATAATCTCAATGATTAAAATAACCTATAATTCCATTAAATAAAAAAAAGAGAATTCAACGAAGAAAGTTTTCTTTTCGCCACTTCTTTTGACGTAATTTATAGAGTCAAAGGAACTGGATCGAAGGGGGGGGGATCGAATCAATATTTTATGCACTGCTGAGGCAGTGTATGAACTCAAGCCTGAACTTTGTGTGCAGAAGCGATTTGTTCAACCTTTCACCCCTTTCTAGTTGTTGTTGCTTTTTTTCGGCACTTTTAATATTGATTTCTTGATTTTTAGATTACTATTTTACATTTTTAACTCTAACCAGTTATTATTATTATTACTTTGTACAAGTTTTCTTGATTTTGATTCAGTTTTTATTACTATGACCTTTATGTTTGTTGCTTTTCTTCATATCTGTCAACTGGACTATTATCTGACCCATAAATTGTTTTCTTCATTACCCCTTGACTAGTACGTAATGTCATTTGTTATTTATTGTCGAATCAATTTATAATGCAATCTTTCCTAGCCTCCTATAGGTATATATATATTCCATACAATAATCTAAATGATATTGTATACTTCTTTGAATTTTATGACTTTCTCAGTTATAGGTTCGAATCTCGCGAGGCGTGATCGTGGCTACACACTGCTGAGGAGTCCCGTAATAAGACGAAACGGATGTCCAATGCTTCCAGGTTTTCCATGGTGGTCTAGCTTGAATTAACTCATGATTTCAGCTATATAAAATATAGGTTTTCATGTTGATTTTCTTTGGAAATGAATCCAATATTTTATGAAATATTGTTGCATAGTATTGATAAGTTTTGAAATGAGATTATTGTGATGATATAATAATATTGAATATTTCTTGGTTGTTGAATGGATCTTTAAATGATCAATATTTATTATGAAAAATTCATACTTTTCAGTATAGTATAAATAGAATGTGGCTATCATGAGAATCAAGGACGTGTAATACATCCTGTTCTGGACTCGTCAGCTGGATGTACTTGAAGTTGATGTTCACACCGGGACTCAAAGCCAGTGCCGTTCGCTTCAGATACCATCGCATTATTACTTAACTACTGAGTCCAGGTAGCTACTCACTTGAACACTCAACAATTTAAATTAAGTTTAATTTGGATATGTCCCAACAATACTCATACTACTGAACAACTACATCTGCGATTATTGCAGCCAATTTTACTGGTGCTTTTATTATACAGTTCGCGGCAATCATTAAAAAATGTCTTAGTCTCAATCTAGATGGAGCGATAAAGGTTACTATCCTAGCAAACGTCTTCCTTCAACATATATTACATTGATGAACAACATCACGGTAGTCTACACAAGGTCTGCAAGTCATTTGACTACCGCAATTACAAAGAAGAAACTTCTTAGCAGTCCCATTTATTGTAGCCGTTTAATTGTCAATTTTACTCTAAAATCCTCTGTGAACCGATCGTACATGTGCATCAGGTACTGAAATTAACGCAGTGACCTTGAAATCCCTCAAACGCTTGTGATCGGCTCGTCCACTGAGTTTAAGAATGACCGAAATTCATAGGTTTGACACAATTTTAACAAGAATCTGTTATCACTCATACTCAATAAAGCTTTGAGTAAACAGAAGTTTACTTGCAAGAGTTTTTGATGTTAAGAGTTGTAACTGGTCAGTCATTATTGGCATATATATCATGAGCGGATTGCCTCGATATTGTCATTTATTCACAAGTTTTAGGTAAAGCTGAATTATGACGAGCAACAGGATGTAGGACTTCAGTTTCATCTGATACATGACTCGTTAACTGGATGTATTTGCATCAATTTTGATGTTCTTAGTTGTACTCAAAGGTGGTATCTGTTATTGAACTCGTTTAGTCAATGGGTAACGAGTCGCCTTTTCAAGTAAAAGATATTGAGTTCAGGTTACAAATGCGAACAACAAAACTGGAATTCTGACACATTTAACTGGTGATTTCAAAGTATGACGAAGTGATTGCTAGCTATTATCTAACTTTAATGAACAAAAACTTGTTCATATTATTGGCGATTATGTTTTTTTAAAGGTAAGTGTACATTACAATATGTAAACAATCATAGGTCATTTAAGGTGAAGACTATATTAGTTAGTTAAAAGCTATGTATATATATTCACATAACTAACCAATGATAATTTATCAGAAGGGGGTTTTGTGGAGATTTTAATAATTTTATATAGTTGAAATCATGAGTCAATTGAAGCTAGACATTAACACCGTTGGATGCCGGCTGGTTAAGTGGTCTAGTGGTTAAGCGCTCGCGAGCGAGACTGATAGGTCCTGGGTTTGAATCTCGCTAGGGGGGATCGTGAATGCTCACTATTGAGGAGTCCCACAATAAGACGAAACGTCCGTCCAGTAATTACAGGTTTTCCATAGTGGTCTAGCTTCAATTGACTCATGATTTCAACTATAAAATGGTAATTTAGTTAATATAAATCTATGATGGAAGTTATCTTTAAGTTAAGTAATAATAGATATCTGTTGCGTTTTAATTTGAGAATACACTAGTATGATTTTATAGGCTATACTTAGTCGAACATTGTACTCTGTCTTTCTACATTCTTTATAGTTTCAGTTATTAAATAGCGAACACTAATCTATCTTATCGGTTTCCTTATTACGAGTTACAATGCCATCTCATTAGATCAACGTCAAGAGAAATAAGCTGTTGGGTTCCAAATCAGTGTCTGAACAACAGTGGGGGGGGGAGAAACCTAAAGGTTTCAAGTGTGATTTAGTGTAAGTTCATAAACATATACTGTTCCTGATTTTAGAAACAAATGAGACAGTCTCTTAGTCTTTCCTGGCTGATAGCAGTTCTCTGGCTGTAATTATTCAACAATAAGAAAGTTTATCTTCTTCGATTCAAATAGATACGCATATTTCGGTAATATTTTAAATGAGGAATGTTACATCGATTCCCCACCGTTGACTTTAGGTATTTTAACACTTCAATAATTATTCGTTGATAGATAATTTGAGTGAGAGTTTAGAAATTTTTATTAAATATTACACAATAAAACTCCGCCTGTAACTCATCTAGAGTTACTGCCGGTCTCAAACCGACACAAAGGAGGAGGGTTGAGCATGGGGTCGGAAACCCTATCCCGTAGAAGAAAATCTTGCCAAAATACACCAACTAGAATAAACAAATTATGTGTTCGTAAGCGGCCTATGCTCCTCCAAGAGGGGTGTTATAACGTGTGAGTGCGTGTGTGCCATGTTTGATGTATGAAAGTGCTGATTCCCGCCAATCAGAGAGTTGCGAATTAACGCTCGGAGCAATGATACACGAAAAACTGTATGAGCAGTCTTGAGTACTTGTCAGTCCTGCTATCTGCCTAGCCCAGCCAGTTAAGTCCACAACATCAATAACAACCTCTGCAACATGAATCATTATTCTCAAACATACTGAGTTTATATATCAGTCAAACAGACCAGGTCGTAACATAAACTAGAAGGTAACATTTGTACAAGATTCGGCCAAATGTGGCTGTGAATAGAGAGAACAGTAACTAATAGACTGGGGATAACTCAAGAATGGTAAGTCATATAATAATAGTCCATGGGTCAAAACAAAGCTTATAATAAGATAAATACGAATATGAATAGTTTAGTTATTTAACAGTTATACAATAGGAAATATACGTATCACATTGGTCCATAAATAGTCCTCAAAAGTTACCATTCATAATTCTCCATGGGATATAACAAGGGGTAATAGACGTGAGTAAGTAAGTAATTACACACTAAACCGATAATCAAGCTTACAAAATGATGATTAAAACTTTCATCTATTAGTCTAGAAAGAATGAATGTGATAACATGACAGAACGGATTAAGAATAAAGAATTAATGCTTAAGTAAACATGATTTGTCCATCACATAGTCTAAGTATCATTATATTTCCATATTTCTAACTAATGAAGAGTAATCATAAGTTTTATGTTGCTTTCCACTCAAGAGACTATATATATATATATATGCAAGGTTTTCCAATTCCCCTAGGTGGACCCTCCGTGTCCATCAACCCGGTTAAAGCGCCGGACATTCGCTTTTCGTCCTCTCAATTTCGCAAACAACACCTGTGGCACGAGAAGGCAGTGAGTAGGACTTCCCTGGCAGAGGCCATATAGGCGTGGGTATGTGAGAGCTTTGGAGAGGGAGAGCGTACTCACCCCCACTCCCGACCGTACCAGGGCATTTAGGGGCATCATAGATACAGATATTAGCTTTTTCATCATAAATATGTATTCATGCTTTATTTAGAAACATCAAAATGGTTTTTGTAAATTTGTATCAATTTTTTGGTAAATGAGAAGGTTATAAGAGTTTTTAGCTGGTATTTGGGACTTGTCACTTAGATATACCTAGGTCTCAGTGTAAACATAAATACTACGATAAAACTAAACATGAGCCTTTAATCCCACTGATGGGTACCTATTAGATATACTAAAAGCTTGTGACAAAAGGCTATATTGAAACAATTCCTTGTAAATATAAATATGGCAACAAAGACTGATCGATTACAGTTACTTAATACTTAGTCTGTCTAACTATTATTGCTATTTCATGATTAAGATCTCTTTTACTAGTCATCATTATTAATTTTATTGTGTCATGATAGTACATTGTGGCAATTTTGATCAACTGGCATCTGTCCCAAGCTCCTAAATGCCCTGGTACGGTCGAGAGTGGGAAGAGTCCGCTCTCCCTCTCCAAATGCTCTCACATACCCACGCCTATATAGCCTCTGTCACGGAAGTCCTAATCACTGCCTTCTCGTGGTATTACTGTTGTTTACGAAATTGAGAGGACGAAAAGCGAATGTTCGGCATTTTAACCGGGTCGTTGGACACGGAAAGTCCACCTATAGGAGTTGGAAAACCCTGATTCCAAACCAATCATGCACATGGGCTCCAGCATCCTAAAGGAACAAATAGCGTATGAATCAATCGTTGGTCACCGGCTTCTATGGGACTGCATCTCCTTACGATGCTCCACTGTCATGTGGGTCAGATGTTTAGGTCAAAGGCTCTGAGTGTGACCCCTAAGAAAACCACCTGATTCGGTTCGGGCTCCCGGGCAGTATCACATCCCTCACACAAATAAAATGAGATTTTTGGTGCATATATATCTGGTGCCCCTTTGTACCAATATTTATGTGTTTAAATAAATAAAGACAGGGACCCAAGCTCCACTTTAATGATGATTGACAAACTGGCAGACTCCTCATATCTATTTAATACTAAATCAATCGGCAAACGTGTATGATAACCTATTTTCATCATTTAGGCATTGTTACAAACCTTTTTCATCTAAATAAAGTAGTACTTAACAGTTATATATGTGTGCACACAATGTTACAAATGTACACAGATGTGGTATATCGATTAACATTCACAGAAATAGATAAACAATACATACATCAAGATATTTGTGTGTTAACGCGTGTGACTAATACCTTCCTTCAGACCTAGTTAGATAGACAGGTACAAAAGTATGTGCAAATATACTGCACTAAATCAACAATGGGTGCCTAGACTTACTTAGTTGCATGAAGAATGATGATAGTAATGATACTAATAATGATCTATAAAATATGGTTTGAAAATTTTAGGATAGTGTCAGGCATTAAAATAAGTGCCACATGTTTCGTCCCGTTATGGGACTCTTCAGAAGTGCGATCCCGCACTCACGAGATTCGAACCCAGGACCTACCAGTCTCGAGTGCGGGACCGTGGATGCGCACTGCCACTGAGGAGTCCCATAATAGGACGAAACGGCCATCCAGTGCTTCCAGGTTTTCCATGGTGGTCTAGCTTCAATTGACTCACACTTTCAACTATGAAAATACTAAATCTCCACAAAACCCCTTCTGATAAAGAGTTTGTGTTTTCCTATTGTTAATATTTAGACTCTGCTTGTATATCGTCTTGTTTAGCAGGTGCTTCCGTCTAGAATATGCCCTAATGTTTATATTCAACTAGACGAAAAACTTTCATGCTTTGGTGATCCTCAAACTAAGGCGTCGTTTCACTAGATCAATGCTTCAACGACGTTAAAGATGGAATATCTTTTTGTCATATTACATATAAATAATCTGATCCTATTTAAAAGTATACAAAAAAAGTAGAAAAGTTCAATCAACTGAACATTGAGATATTTATTGATCTGTACATTAAATTTGGAAACGCCATACTTGAGTACATAGAACTAGTCATTGCCGAAACTAGACAATTTCCTATTGGAAAAATCTTAAAGAACCAAGACTAATTTGATCTGTGAAATCTCAAAACTTCAACATGATAAGAGATTACCTACGCTAAACCTATTCCCTTTATCATATATGAAGATCTGAGGTAACCAGGTCACAATCTTTAGATCAGTATATAATAAATTGGTATCAGATTTGTCTAGAACAGCAAGTTTATGATAACATACGAGATATATTCACAAACTCTGGAGCAGTTGTTTGTTATCTAACCATCTAATTTCTCTTTGAATTGTTAATTAATGCAACTGTTCGCATTGATACGAGGTTGCAACTCTTTTCAATAGAAATCATTAAAAGAAGACGAAATCGACCAAGATATCTACACTGTCAGGACTAAAATAGACTTCCTACCTATCTGTTCCTCTCAAAATGAAAGTGAAACTAGAGATTTCCGTCTACTATGCAATCTGCTTAGTGACTACATGAACTGATTTGCTTAAGTTTATTGGTTAAACTGTGGAAAGCCTCTTAGGGTATTTATAAAAAGCCGGGTTTTGGTTAGAAAGATTACTCGTTTAGAAAACGTCATTTTTAAAGTGAACCAAGTGTCTTAGAGGAGGCTATGAAGGCTGAAAGGATAACTCAAGGCCAGAATGACCGTTGATATCCTTTTTGTGAAAAAAAATTGAACGAGTGAGGTCTCTCGTGCTTTTCGACAGCCAACTCGTTATCTAGATTCCTGATGATTAACTGAACCAATAAAAACCTTGTAGGTATTTCTTGGTTGATCTCACATATTTTTGATTACTTCCACTAGAGAGAGACGACGAGAAAACTAAAGAACTTGATTTTTGAAAACTTCGAGTATTTTTGTAAACAATCAAAACAGAAATAAGACAAATTTTCGTTATGTCCTAGCTAAGACATGAATAGGGGTAACTCCCAGGACCTATTAATGGACTATTATTCTCTATATATTCTTATTGTTTAATTATTGAGTAATTAGATTGTGTATATCCATATTCATCTTATTATAAGCTTCATTTTGATCTATGGACTATTATCATACGAACTACTGTCCCTAAATTATATTCAGTTTATTGATTATTGTCTCCCACGTTCACAGTCACATTTGGCTCGATCTTGTACAAATATTATTTTATGGTGTGATGCGGTCTGTCTGTCTGGTATATAAACCTAGTATGCTGCAACCGGTGTTTTGGACTCAATTGGAAGGGCTAGGCGGACAAGGGACCAATAAAGATACTAGAATGCTCATACTGGTCGAACGTCATTGATTTGGCACAGTGTTAAGATTAGACAAGTCGTATTCCAATTGATAGATAACTCAAGTGATAAAAAGCCGGAAATAAAATCAATAACGAATTGGCAACGGTCTTCTTTTATAAAGTCATAACAATTTCTTACTAACTATCGATAATGTTGATATAAAATAGAGTTCGTAAAACAAAGTGTTTAAAAACTCATTTTGGAGATTTATCAAACAGTCTATATTATAATTTCACTTGGAACTTTTTACTTGAATCTGCCCATTGATGTTTACGACTGCAATTAATCAGTCTCTTATTAACATATGTACATATTGTGCACATTGCCTCACAATAGCAATAGTTAACAAACATTATAAGCAAAGATGGGTAGTAGCTAGCAGTGGAATCCATGACACGCGTTTCCTCCTATTGGAGACTCAACAGCTGGATATACCTGTATCTTGGAGTTGATGTTCAATCTGGAACTCGAACCCAGTAACGTTCGGTTCAAATCCCATCGTGTTACTCACTTAGCTACTGAGTTCTGATAGACACTTTCTTGTACAATGAGGTGAAGTTTATATTCACTTAATATTATTTGTATGAATCCTCTCATTGATGTTTAGGGCTGTAATTGATTAGTCTATTATTGACATATGTACTTACTGTACATATTGCCTCGATGTTGCTCTAATTCACAAATATTCTAAACAAAGATGGATAGTGGCTAGAAGGTACATCCAATTGACGAGTCTGAATTAAGATGAAACACATGTTCTATATTCCATTATCTATCTTTATTTAAACTATATTATATAATTAATCATTTTAACTTACTTCATCTAATGTATATTTATGATTTCCATGAATTATTTCTTCAATTCTTTTATCATTATTATTAATAAAATCTATTTCATTTAAATATTCTATAATTTGCCATGTAATCAATTCAATACCAGTTGTATTTATAAATTGTTTATATTGTATATCATCATTATTATTATTTTTGTTTATATTATTGATCATTGAATAAATTTGTTTTTCATATGATTGTATATTGATTAATTGATATGTTAATTTATTATAAATATAACGTGTTATCATTTGTTTTATCTTTTTTAAATTAATAATTTTTAATAAATTTTCATTCCATATATCAATTGATTTTGTTAATGTTTTACAAAAATTTTTTTCTTTATCAATAATAATTAAATCATTAGGAATAGATTGATTATTTATATTTTTAATAGTAGCATATGTTACATAACATTGACCAGAACTATCAATTTCAATACCTGATTCAAATGTATTATGTATATTAAATAAACTAATAAGTCCTTTAAATATATTCAATTGAATAGTATTTATGTGAAATTGTTTATTTGATATATATATTCTATCAATAAATCCTTTAACATCAAATAAAATTAAACCATTTAGATAGATACTACTTATAAACTGACTATGAATATTACTACTACTACTACTATTAGTAGTAGTAGTATTCAATGTTATATACCATAATGTTTTATTGATTATTTGATTTGTTTTATAATTTATTTCTTTTATTACAATTGGTGTAATATAAACATAACCTGATATTGTTTTTAAATGTATTTCTTTATGTGAATTTTCAGTAATATTTGTTATATAATGATATATATATGTTTTATTTGTTTGAAATAAATTTAATTTAAGTAGTATAAGAATAATTGAATAAAAATAATATTTAAACTTCATAGATATTGAAAAGATGTTTATTCCTTTATTTATTTATCAAAAGTGCAAATATATTAAACGAAAAAATAAAAATAATAATAATCATGCACACTATTGGCTAGTTTGATCTTGATTCTGATTGGTTAATATTTGATAGCTTTAGAATATAACCAATCATGTTTAAGAATTAAACAAATATAGTTACATACTTAGTTATCTCTCAAGGACATCAGTGACTAAACACGATACAAAGATTCAATTGATATTATTTGGTTGAATCTTCCTATTGATGCTTAAGATTGCAATTGATCCGTGTATTATAGACCATATATGCATACTGTGCGTATTGCCTCGATATAACCTTAATTCACAACTGTGGTAACCAAAGGTGGATAGTGGCTAACAGTGGAATCCAGTTTGACGCGCGTTTCGTCCAAGGTATCAAAATTAATGATAACTTCATTTCTTTTATAAACAAATTTTACACCAAAAAAGAAAGGAAAGAACAGGCATATTGACTACACTACTATACTACATTACATTGAAAATCAAAAAGGTTTTATAAAATCTGTAAAATAAATGAATTAGTGATTAATTACATTTTTAAAGTATCAGTCAGTTAAAACAAAAATAGAACAAGAGTCAAATAGAAATTAGGTTATAAACTGTAACAAGATATTAACGAAATGAGAAAATAATAATAACAAGATGTATAGTAAAGAGGTAAAAGTCAAGGTTTCTGTCTGCGATTACAGAGAAATACTACTTACTTACTTACGCCTGTTACCCCTCGTCGAGGAGCATAGGCCGCTCACCAGCATTCTCCATCCAACTCTGTCCTGAGCCTTCCTTTCCAGTTCTTTCCAGTTGCTATTCATCCTTTTCATATCTGCTTCTATTTCCCGGCGTAGTGTGTTCTTTGGCCTTCCTCTTTTCCGCTTCCCTTCCGGATTCCAAGTTAGGGATTGAGTCGTGATGCACATTGGTGATTTCCTTAATGTATGTCCGATCCACTTCCAACGTCTTTTCCAAATTTCCTCTTCAGCTGGAACCTGCTGGTTTGTCCTCTACCATAAAACGCTGTTGCTGATAGTATCCGGCCAGTGGATGTTGAGGATTTTGCGTAGACAACTGTTTATAAATACTTGTACCTTCCTGATGATGGCCGTAGTAGTTCTCCACGTTTCAGCTCCATACAGTAGGACTGTCTTGACGTTCGTATTAAAGATTCTGACCTTGAAATTGGTTGAGAGTTGTTTTGAGTTCCATATGTTCTTCAATTGTAGAAATGCTGCCCTTGCTTTGCCAATCCTCGCCTTTACATCTGCATCCGATCCTCCTTGTTTATCAACGATGCTCCCCAGGTACTTGAATGTTTCCACCTCTTCCAGAGTTTCGCCATCAAGTGTGATTGGGTCGGTGTTCTCCGTGTTGCATTTGAGAATCTTGCTTTTTCCTTTGTGAATGTGGAGGCCTATCGATGCGGAGGCTGCTGCTACATTTGCTGTCTTCATCTGCATTTGGTCGTGTGTATGAGAGAGGAGGGCTAGGTCATCTGCGAAGTCCAAATCATCTAATTGATTCTGAGCTGTCCATTGTATTCCGTATTTCCCTTCAGATGTCGAATTCGTCATAATCCAATCAATCACTAGAAGGAAGAGGAATGGGGAGAGTAGACAGCCTTGTCTGACTCCGGTCCTTTCTGAAAATGCATCTGTCAGCTGTCCTCCATGCACGACTTTGCACTGTAATCCATGGTATGAGTTTTGGATAATGTTGACAATCTTTTCAGGAACTCCATAGTGTCGAAGAAGTTTCCATAATGTTCTCCTGTTCACGCTGTCAAACGCCTTCTCATAGTCGATGAAGTTGATGTACAGTGATGAGTTCCACTCAACTGATTGTTCAACGATGATCCGTAGTGTCGCAATCTGGTCTGTGCATGACCTAACCTTATGGAATCCAGCCCGATGATCCCTAAGTTCGGCGTCTACTGCGTCTTTCATCCGATTCAGCAGCACTCTGTTGAAAACTTTTCCTGGTACTGATAACAAACTGATACCTCTGTAGTTCTCACATTGGCTCAGATCTCCTTTCTTTGGTATCTTGATGAGATATCCTTCTTTCCAGTCCATTGGCACTTGTTGCTCTTCCCAAATCTTCTTGAATAGAAAGTGAAGCATGTTTGCAGTTATTTCAATGTCTGACTTCAGTGCTTCTGCTGGTATATTGTCAGGTCCTGCCGCCTACCCACTTTTGATTTGTCTGATGGCCATCTTGACTTCTTCGATCGTTGGTGGAGTGACATCTTTTGGAAGGTCAGTGTTTGCTACTTCGATGTTCGGTGGATTCAATGGGGCTGGTCTATTCAGCAGTTCCTCGAAGTATTCTGCCCATCTTTTCCTCTGTTCTTGAATCTCAGTGATTGTCTTTCCTTCTTTGTCTTTGACTGGTCTCTCTGGTTTGCTATATCTCCCTACCAATTTCTTCGTTGTATTGTATAGTTGTCTCATATTCCCTTCTCTTGCAGCTTTTTCCGCCGCCGTTGCTAGTTCTCCCATGTATTTCTGCTTGTCGGCTATAATGCTTTTCTTCACTTCTCTGTTTGCTTCTGCGTAGTCTGCTTGTGTTTTGACTTTCTCTGCTAGTGTTCGGCTGTTGTTAATTGCTAGTTTCTTGTTCTTCCTTTCTTGAATTTTGTCCAGGGTTCCCATCGAGATCCATCTCTTGTGATGATGCTTCTTAGGACCAAGAACCTGCTGACACGTTGAAGTTAGGGCTTCTTTTATCCCTTTCCAGTTGTCCTCCAAAGTAGTTTCTTGTTCTTTCAGTAGATCCTGTAGAGCTTGGAACCTGTTGTTGAGAGTTATCTTGAATTCATGGAGCTTGTCAGTATCTCGAATGAAGGCTGTATTGAACATTCGTAGTGCTGTTTGTCCAGTTGTCCAGTGTTTCTTTAGCTTCAGTCTCATCTTGGCCACAACCAGGTGGTGATCTGAAGCTATGTCAGCTCCCCTCCGGGTTCTCACATCTTCCATTGCTCTTCGGAATTTTTTGTTGATACAGATGTGATCAATCTGGTTCTCTGTGGTGTGGTCCGGAGAAATCCATGTAGCTTTGTGTATGCGCTTGTGTGGGAATATTGTGCCGCCTATAACCAATTTGTTGAAAGCACATAGGTTTGCAAGTCTCTCCCCATTTTCATTTCTCTCTCCTAATCCATGTCGTCCAATTACATCTTCATACCCTGTGTTGTCCACTCCAACTTTAGCATTTAGATCTCCCATCAGGGTTGTGAGGTCCTTTCGTGAGCACTTCTTTATAATTGATTGCAGCCTTTAATAGAACTGATCTTTATCATCGTCGTTGCTATCATTGGTGGGTGCATAACATTGGATAACGTTCATTGTTATCCCCTGCTTCTTTGTTCTGAATGATGCTTTGATTATCCTGGGTCCATGAGATTCCCATCCCACAAGTGCATTTCTTGCTTCTTTGGACAGCATTAGAGCAACTCCCTGAGTGTGTGGAGCATTTTCCCCTTCGTGACCGGAGTACAGCAGCATCTCTCCTGTACCTAGCCTTTGTTGTCCAGTTTGTGTCCAATGGGTTTCGCTGATTCCGAGTACTGCCAAGTTGTATCTTCTCATTTCCATTGCTATTTGGCTGGTCTTTCCTGTCTCCCTTATTGTCCGGACGTTCCATGTACCTATAAAGAGTGTTGCTCTGGTTGTTAGAAGGTGCATCGGTCTCGTGACTTCCGAAGAATTTCGGCTTTCATCATGAGACGTCATAATTATTCCTTCAACTCTCAGGGCAGAGTTTAAATGGATTGAATTATTTTTTCTGGTTAGCGTTTTTTTTAGCAAGTTAGCTTTTCTACGGGATGTGGTCGCTAACACCATGCCCAACCCTCCTCCTTTGTGTGGGCTTGGGACCGGCAGTAACTCTAGAAGAGCTACAGGCGGAGTTATAAGCAAAGATGGATAGTGGCTAGCAGTGGAATCCAGGACGCGCGTTTCGTCCTATTTGGGACTCGTCAGCTGGATGTACCTGCATCTCAGAGTTGATGTTCACTCTGGGACTCGAACCCAGTACCCTCGCTTCAAACGCCATCATCATTCATCACTTACCAAAGTACAATTACATTTCTATCTTCAATTAGTATATTCATTTGACTGGATAAATATCGTTTAGATAGTGTCCATCATTATTTAATTACATAGTCAGCTTTCATCATGAGACGTCATAATTATTCCTTCAACTCCCAGGGCAGAGTTTAAATGGATTGAATTATTTTTTCTGGTTAGCGTTTTTTTTAGCAAGTTAGCTTTTCTACGGGATGTGGTCGCTAACACCATGCCCAACCCTCCTCCTTTGTGTGGGCTTGGGACCGGCAGTAACTCTAGAAGAGCTACAGGCGGATTTAGAGAAATACTAACGGGGTAGTTTATCTCAGGATAAATTAAAGCATAAGCTACTTATTCGGGCTACTTTGATGTATAAATATTAACTTACGTACTCTCATAAAACTGTTTATATTAAATTCACAAATTCTGAAGTTTAAAAACGTACAATCATACACCACTCTATGTAGTTGTTTGAAAGTGAGTGCTAATCCGATAACAGCTTCATTCACAAAACGCTTGGTCAATTCTATTGACATAAATATCCAAGATAATTTAAGGGGTTTTCAAGAGGTATTTCCCGGAGTTCCAGTGAGAAGCCGTGACCGGTAAAATTCAACCGGGTCTGTTGTGAGATAGTAACTCACTGAACATAATGGTGGTTGTGTCGCTCAATTTTGTAGATTAGTTGAAGTTAGACAATAACACCATTGGATGCGGGCTCAGTGGTCTAAAGGTTAAGCGCTCGCAAGCGAGACTGATAGGTCCTGGGTTCGAATCTCGCGAGGCAGGATCGTGGATGTACACTTCTGAGGAGTCGCATAATAGGACGAGTTGGCCATCCGATGCTTCCAGGTTTCTTATGGTGGTCCAGATTCAATTGACTCATGATCTCAACCATTAAAGTAATTTAAAAAATTGGTCGAAATG